CTCTTTTATATATTCTCAAAGTCCCAGGCGCCACCGACTGGTGCCCAGGGAGACGGGCGTTTGTCCTCCTGGGGCCGCCGCCGCGCCGTCGCACACGGCGATTCCACTCGCGCGTGCGCGCGATTGATGCGGCGAAGGCGATGTGACGGTTCGCTCCGCCCATCTGTGGCATTTTGCCAAGCTATCGGGCTGTCGATCGATAGACTGCCATATTTGCTAGGCTGATATTGTTTTACTGACGGATTGAGGTGAGTTTGCTCATTCAAAACTAATTGGGATTGCTTTATATAGGTTGCATTAGTTGTCTGTAGTTATCGAATCATTTTTAGTCCTATGTACTCACAATGCCAATAGAGGATTGATTAGTGGTTGGAATTATATGGTTCTAGCCCTCTTCAACCCTATTTTGGCTGTTTGAGTGACCTGTCGTTAAATTTGACTGACCCGTTCTTCCCAATGGCAGCGAACGAGAGTAGATCATGAAATACGGGCGGTATACCTACACACATATGAAGTCTAATCCTTAGCGCAGTCTTTTTCACTCCTACAGTTTTGATTGCGGAATCCGCATTTCGTTTTCTGACATGATTTATTTTGTTGTTTGCTGTAAGCTTTGAGCAATAGCCTTGCGTTCATGTCCGAAAAATTTCTATTGGTTGTTTGCCATTTTACATGCATACAAACGCTAAAACACAGCTCGATGTAGTCAACAGTGAAAGCAACATTTCGTTCGGTCCTTGAGGCATTTTGTTGGTTGGAAGAAAAATTACGGTTTAAATTGCAATGTAAAAGTCGCGTTGTGGAGGGCAAAGCTGCGAAATTCGCCACCGTATTCATGTAAAATTGGTCCATGTGGTGCATCACTTCTGTTAGTCGCGATCACTTCCTGTACTTTGTTGTTTTTTCTGATGCTTGTTGAATGTGTTCCAAATATGAAATAATAACAAATAAAAACATTTTATTTTTCACTTAATCAGGTAGAGTGGTACCGCACCGCACGAATATCTTCAGGAAGTTTAGGATCGGGAATCTAATTCAACTATTAGAAAACGGAAACTACTGTGGTCGTTTTCAGCATTACTGCACTTTCGCAGCCCCGGTGGGATGAAGATGGGCTGAATGCTATCTATGTAGTTAGATAAGAGACTATGGTCCATTGCAACGTTTGGATGTACCGTTGAAAGCCGCACACTAATCCTTTGATGCCGAATCATTTGGCGTTAATTTGCCACCACAGCTTTTCACCAAATTCGTTGGAAGCCTGCACATAGGAGTTTTCGATCGATCAGTTCACAAATATGGCATTTCTACTAGGCCTGTGGGCACATATCCGTGAGGTGGTAGGTAGGTGAGCCACCTATTACGTGAGAAAGACTACAGTGTGCTAGGTCATTAAAGTAACAGTTCACGGTGGAGGGAGTGTGCAGACGAGAATAGAAAAATAGGTGAGTCCACGTGCGAAGTCGCGCATTTCGTCTGTTGTCCGTCTGTGCGTTTTTGTCCTTCGGGCAGCCCTTGTTGGTGCACCGCAAAGCGGGGCCTCAGCTAGTAACTGGAGGGCTATGCGGCTTCGCCACAATTCATTGATCGCACTGGTGTACTTGTCAATTTTTTGGCAAGAAGGTGAAGTGCTTCGCGCATCCCGGAGATTCTCCGGCTGCGAAGGTTGGAATTTTTTTAGGTGTTAGCGACTGTTGCGCCTTATTCCCCTTCCCTTTGGATGAGCTCACACGAGCAATTTTCGTATCTACAAAAAGTGTACCGTTTGGCAGTCCCAGGGGTGTGGTTCACTAGGACAGAAAGCGACGTTTTCGCGTTTTGCAGCGAAAACTTTATTCGCGCTGCTCAGCACAGAAAAATTCGCTTTGTGCTTTAGGTAACCACACCTCCCAGTCCCTAGTGCTACGTGGTACTCAAGCGCCGTCTGATTAGTGTCGTCACTTTAATATGCACTGGGATAATAGTTTTTACGTAGTGCAGCCATCAGATTTTTGCTGGGATACAAGACATCAGGTCCAGGGTTGCGAATCGATTGCCACGTAATTAACCTTAACTTCGAGGAAAATCACAGTTCAAAAAAAGAAAGGAGATCAAAACATAGTAGGTGGGTGCTGCTCTTGTAGTGTCTTGTCGTTTCAAACCCTCTTCTAGCCTAAAAGACACCCTTTTTGTGCGTGCGCATCCACTCTAAGGTGTTGGTCTTCCAACCAGATGTAAAATCGGTCGAAGAGAGTAGCGTACGAAAAAAGAAAATCTTGGCCGAAGGAAAATTGGTTGTAAAGTTGGGTAGTAGTATGCCAACTTGCTTCGCTCATCACCGTTTTGTAATAAGGGCGAGGCCTAACTAAAACGAAGGGTCGAAGTTGCCGTCGTAGAGAATACAGTGTTCATACCGGATCAATATAAAGTTGCACTTAAGAAATAGATATGTATTGCAAATATGCGATTCTACGCTCATGAACTAACATTCAGTTATGCAGGCTGGAGTGCGGTAGCTAGGTATTAATGATATCATTCTTAATCAAATGAAACGTCAACGTAAAGGTTTCCAAAATTGAATTAGTGTTATCGATTGTGTTGCGTGAAACACTGTGTCTTACCTTGATTCCAAGTGAATCCTTCTTCCACTGAGGATAGATGTGTGATGACTTTTGAACTTGATTCTTTCTGTTGCCGCACCGCTGTTAAGTCCCAGCAAAAGTCGATGAACTCAGGCAACAGGTGTTCCTCAGACAAAATCTTTTTTTACTGTGCTTGTGCTATTCATTTAAGAGGTCAATTTCTGTGGAGTTATCTTCTGATTCAGCAATTTGTATAGCCCATAGGGGTAGAAGTAGTACTTGTGAGATCACTATGAAGCACCTGCAAGCATTGGATAACTCGTGGTTATCATGGGTACTTTAACTGGAGGCTTCCTCGATCAGGTACACGGAATGCGCAGATTTTGTAGTTTTTTAATCGAAATTGTTGCCCCTGGTGGAGCGGCTGATCACATGCCATCTGACGTCACATTTTGTCAAACAACAGCGGCTGCCGACGACTGTCTCTGCGAACGGTGCTAGAGCGTGCGTTCGAAATTTGGCTGCAATATCCGTTTCTTTCTGTGCGGTCGTTCTTTGGATTCGCTTGTGAATCTTGTGATCACTTTCTATTTAACCACTTGCAACCAATTGGAGAAGAAGAAGAAGAACCAATTGCTAAGTGCTAATTTCAAAGCGCCCTTTCCTAAATGTTTAACAATTTTGATCTCCCAATTTTTCACCCATTTTTGGCCACTTCTAAACATCACTTTCTGCTCACCCATAATTTATTCTTAAAATGCAACCTTGAGCTGTTCGTGTAATGATTCAAGCCTTTATGAAACTGAGCTTTTCCTTTATCTTACAGAGAAAGGAGACGTGCTTCCTTTTTTCGTGTTCGGATTACTAAGATTCATCTACATGACCACTGTCATCGATCAAGCGAGTTGTACGCCTGGCATAGACTTTGATCTTCTCAACGCATGAGCTCCTTGTTCCCATTCAAGTTTGATAATGAGGATTCGGCTCAACCATAAGGTATGCAGAAAAATCAGGATAGAAAAGTAGCAAGGTGTTACTGCTTTTTGTAGTTGTTTCCGCCTAGGGTTTCCTTCTTTGGTGGAATTTTAAGGTATCATTCTGAGGAAGAATTATACTGGTGCGGCATGCATTCTACACGACCCAGAAGTCCTTATCTCAAATTATGGACATTTTCCAGGGAATTCGGGATATGCCGTGAACTCCATAAGTGGTTCGGGAGTTCCACTTGGTGCCTCATTGTGGGGATGAAACATTTTGTTGAGCACAGTTAGCGCGAGAAAGTCCCAAGAACTTAATTTCTTTGGGAGATAAGATTTCCGAGAAGTGAGTCTTTTTAGAAACGGGAGAACCAGATTCAACTAGCTAGCCACCCTACGGAAGACTATAAGGTGGGGGAGGGGGTCAATTAGTCGTCAGCTGCTGTGGGATTAAACGCACAGATTCGATAGATGCTGGATATCTCCACTGATAGCTCGATAAAAAAAACCCGCCGCATTCCATCGTCACATGTTGTGAATAAGCGACATTTTGGCTATGGTCGAGTGCCAGGTCGTGTAGAACTCAGCATACAAGCTAAAACTTAATTTTGCTACAGAAATCGGGTCCTCTATCCGTCAGGCCGATTCAGACGGAGGTCGTATTAGCGATTTTGCGAGAGGTGTGTGATCATAATTGGGGTTCGAAGGTCAAAGGCCGAAAGAAGGTCGTATTTTTGGAGGTTGAAAAGGACGTGGGGCATAGAAGTCGTTTTAAACGTCTTTTCTGGCAATCCACGAAAATCCGTGAAATAAGGAAAACTGGAGCTTCGCCATTTCTTGAGACATCTACACCCCGTTGCGCCTCTCCAATATCCATTTTGGAGAAAAATGAGGGAAAAGTGTGGCGGAGTTGGGGTGTGTAGACTGATCTCTATACTGTAGAAACAGCTGTGCGGAGTTGGGATGTGTAGACTGATCTCTATACTGTAGAAACAGCTGTGCTGGTGAGGGCGGCGGCGAGGGTGACAGGGGGTCGTATCGGGGTTCCATGGGGGGGGGGTTATTGGTCTGTATCACACTAAATGAAAAATGAAAAAAGAAAGGTTGGTCGCAATGTTCGACACCTGTCTGAAGGCTGCAGTCTGCAAGCTGTCGCGTGTTGTGCATGTAGCGGTGAAGAGGCTGAAAAATCTTGAAAAAACGGCAACAAGTGTGATAGTAATCACAGGGGAAGAACGGCGAGGGTTCGCATGTGACTGAGAATTAGTCTTTCACGTGCAGATCGCCCTTCAATCTATCTTCACGCCTTCTCTCTGCAAGCTCGTTCTCGCTTTCCTCACTTCTTTCGAGTTGCTCAGCGACATGTACATCTCGATGCTTTTGAGTCAGCAAGTGTGACCACAGCCATTCTGAGTGAATGGATTATCATTCATCGTCATGGATTTCGTGAGTCTATAAGCACCTTCCAATATTTAAAATGCCATTATGGTTTTCTGGCTTCAATAAGGCGAGCTAAAGGTCCCATTTGTGGACAACGATATTTCCTAGTATTCTTTGTTACTTGTTTCTTGGTGTGGGTGCATGCATAGTCGGTCGTCCGACAGCAACGATCGTAACTGTCGCACAGCATTGGATGCGTATCGATCGTTAGACTTGCCTGAGTATTTGACGATCGATACGTATCTAACGCTGTGCGACAGTTACGATCGTTGTCGGACGACCGACTATGTCAGTTAGAAATTGGTTTTTCAGTACTGCTCCACGTTACATACCCCCACTCTGCACCAATGGTTCCCAAAAGGGTAAAAAAATTTTCTGGTAAATTTTTGCCTGTAGATGTATTTTGGTGTGCTGATCACAAATTTCACATTTGGTACGGCCACTGGAAAGAAAGATCATGGAAGCGCGGGAAATACATCGAACCAGACCAAAATTAATAAAAAGGAAGAGCTACGTGACCTTTTGAGACTTCTTACGTAATCCATGAAGTCCTTCCCTCGGGGATGATGTCTCATTTTTCACTCGTTCCCGACCCTCATAGGTCCCCTCCGTACTCCCTTATCGCTGGTATGTCGATGTATCGTGTTTATTGTATAAGAACAGTTGATCAGTCGCAAGTATTGTAATTTTAAGATTGGTCTGATGATGGCATTATTGCCGAAAGCTTGCCAATAAAGTGTAAGAGTGGAAGAGCTTCAAGAGAATTCAATCTACGATCCATTTCCACATGGTCAATATTTCTACTATAAAAAAAAACGAGGAGAGTGAGATGGAAAAGCACATGCTCTGTGTGGTATTAGGACTAAGGTTTTCAAAGGAAATAACGATAGCAGAGATGCTTAGTAGTGCGCAGTATGAGAGCTCCCAGTCTGAGCTTCAAAACTCGGAATTATTGGCCCCACGGTTTACAGGAGTGATGTGTACACGAGAAATTCGTTCTTGGCGCCAAAATGCATGTCTTATTCGTGAATAGAACACTGAGTAACTCCTATATGCAAGTTTACAGCGGATTTGGTGAGAACAGGTCTTGCACCAAAGTCACACAAAATTGTACCACATGGTGCTAGCTGTATGAAAGCATATTACAAGGACACTAAATTACCACCGAAATGTATTTAGATATTTTAAATGATATTTAATTTCATGTGAAGGGTCTGCTCCGCAACCGAGGATTGGAAAGTGAAAACTGTTAAGACCTGCCCTTGTTAGGCTTTGACTTTTCTTAACTTAACAGACAAATTAGATGGTTCCTTCTGTTTCAGAAAACCAGGAGTGCGTCAGTGCAGACCGCACACCACAAGTGACGACGACCTCCAAGTAAATCTGTAACTAGTGGTTCATAGTGATAGCTGATAGTTGGTAAATGATAGTTGTAATTAGTGACAACTGATAGAATACAACTGCAACAGGCTAATCATTTCATTGGCAGAAAACATTTACATTTTGTGGAGGCCGTCGTCACTTGTGGTGTGTGGTCTGCACTCGACGCGCTTCTGGTTTTCTGAAACAGGGTATATATTCGGGCTTTTGCTTTTGTTGAGGTGTTAAAGTGGACTTGGTAGGCTTAAGGTGCGAAACACACCTTTTATAGAGGGTGTGTTGTTATAGTATTCGATAGTTTTAATCCTTCAATTTTTAGTATTCGCGTGCACCCGTGGAGTCTCTCATTAGACAATTAGGAAAAAATCGGTGGTGGGGCGACGCGTTGTTCGCGCATCGTATGCGTTTGCTGCCACAGTCACTAGCAGCGGCACTCTATCGCCATCCGGTGCCTTATGCCGCTATGAGTCGTAGAACGAGTTCAGGATTGGCAATGGAGGTGTGCGAACTTCGTTTATTGTTTTCGATTTATTTCTATTTCATTTACAAGAGTGGTTGACACATTTGAGTTCAATATTTCATACAGCTACGGTTTGATTTTTCATTTAAAGTATTTTTGGGAGTCACAATTCACGGGAATTTCTAGGAACCATCGTTTCGTCCTAAAAAGGTCCTCATCTTGAGTAAAATTACACGATACGAATTCGAGAAACGAGTGCATGGTGAGGAAGATGACAGAAAACTCGAAGCATTGGCAAGCTCATCTTCTTTTTTCTAATTCTCTGTACTCGGTTTTGAGCTTTATTTTTTTAGTTGAAACGACGTGGATCGGATTATAATCAATTAATAAGGAAGCATCAAATTCATCAAGCGTATCTGCAAACAATCCAGTCAGAGCTTGAGTATGTTCATATACTTGTTGATATTGGATAGCTGCCTCCAGGAATCAACATCATGAATGTTCATGTTCGATATGTGCGATGTTACTCGCTGGGTTTTTTTTGGGGTATTTTCATGGTGCAGGTCTCGTTATCGGAAACACTTAACTGTCGTGTTACTTCCAAAGGGCAGAGATACACTAAAAGACCAATAAAGTGAATACAATTTGATTGAAGTGAAGTAAAACAAGGGCTATTTAAAATAGTGAGCACAAAGCCAATTGATGGCGGGACCATGTAGCATCCTGATCGTCATGATTACCATACGCTGGCATTGGGGTGTAACTGAATCAAATGCATGACTTTTTTTGTGTCGTGCTGAATCAATTCAGTAACCTAAACTCGTGAAAAAGTATGAGTGCTAAAACAGCTCCAGGTGTTATTACCATAGTTTGTGTATTGATCTTTAGGCGAGCTGGTGTGGAATCTAGAGTTGTTCAAAGATTCGACTACACAGAAGAAGCCATCAAATGGGCAGACGCTGTGATGACCGCTGGTGGTGATGGAACGTTTTTGCTTGCTGCATCACGCATTCATCAGAGAGATAAACCTGTCATAGGCGTCAACACCGATCCTCAAGGGTGTGTCTAATTTTTCTCTATTCAGTGCCTTCTTTGAGGTATTTCATTGTCCTTTTGAGATCAGAAGGATATATGTGCCTAATGCGAAAATTACCTAAGGAACATTTTCGATCGGCTCTGCAGCGATTGCTCGACGGGGATTTCCAGTAAGTTTTCGAACCGCATTCCCTGGTTTATCATGGGAAACTATCTTGAAGATCAAATCAAGCGTTGTTATTAACTTTCTTTACCATAGGTTAATGATCTTTTCCTAGGTGGCTTTATCGTCAGCGTCTTCGAATAACTCTGAGTGGAGATAGACAAGCTGGTGTCGGCGATTCAATTGAACTTCACGATCAACAATTGAATCGCATGCCGGCCACCACGCGATGGATGGACAGTCACATAACAGCATCGTCTTCGATAACCGCATGCATCAAGCGCGATCTGCCAGGAGAAGTTTTTGTAGAGCGTGCAAAAAGCTAAGTAGGGCTATGTGGTTGCGCAGGTTTGCATAATCATATTCTTTCTGACGTTTTTCGTTTTTTGTTACAAGATAGCGTTTACATCAGCACCTGGAGAGTTAGATTACGTACAAGTTCTTGCTGCTGCAATGAGGTTATTGGTTGACGCTTTCAGTTCGCGGGGTATATAATTCGCACATACAGATCGACATGGATTGAAATGGTCAAGCAGAAAGTGCTCTAGTCCGTAGTTCGACCATCTGTACAAGTTATACAATCATTGAGATCGAAGTTCACCACCACGCTCTTCGTATGCTCTCTATCCTTTAGTCCCCCAGAGTCGAAAAATTTTCGTTTATTTCACGTGTTCTATATGTAACTGAAAGGTTATTCAGTCGATGTGGGGATTGGTTAACATATTTTTTATTTAATGCTTTCAAGCGTCATGCGTTTGTAAGTACACCATGTGAACATGGAAAGGAGTGCGGTGATTCTAGAACTAAGATCACTTCGGCCAAGATCGGTATGAGCCTTAATATATGGTAATGGTTGCTTAGTAGAGGAATTCAGGCGGTCCGGCATTATGATTAATAGAATGTCTTTATAGCGTTGTTACGTTTCATCTCAAGCGAGCTGAGCACAGAACTGCTTCTTATTCATGCTAAACGAATTCTTTTGACGTAGTGTAAAGCAAAGGAAAGCGCGGTCTCAGTGCAGATGCTACGCATACTCATTGCTCGAGCCATAGATCCGTCGTCCTGGGAGCTGGTTCATAGGAAGGCAGTGATGTTTCTTTTGCTGCTTCGTGAAGATGTAGCCAGAAAGCTTCTAATTCTATTTATCACTTTTCCATTATTGTTCCTTTGCTATACACAAAAGAATTTCGTATGTATTTTGACCTGGGCTAGGATGTTGGGCAGTAGTTATGCATGTATGAGTGGTGACCGCGTAATGCAAGTGACCCGGGCAAATATTTTCGGGCAAGCTAGTGCTTAATGTGGCGTGTTCAGGAGAAACTACCCTTGGAGATAAGTTTCCTACCGAATCTGAGATTTTGACCCAACCCTAAAAAATGAGGTGAGTCAACCATCATATCATCAACCTATCGTTGAACTCTTTGCATGGAAATTGCTCTTCCAACCAAGATTTTGAAAGAGAAACGTTCAACGGCTCACATTTCCGCATAATGGAAATGATTTACATGACTCTGCATCAAAATTCAGGGAAGGTGCTTTTCCAGTTAGTTTTCGATTCATACCTTCTCTCGTTTCACTGTGTGTTGACTGCCCTTGTCTTCGAGTGGCAGTAGTCATAAATAAACTGCCTTAGCTGCGCGCGGGCAGCGACTTCATAGCTGGTACTGTGTAACCAGGTTGATTGCGATCCCTTAGACCACGTATCGATACTTCTTTTACCGCAAAAAACACCTTATCATGTGACTAGGAACGTGTTGATCACCATTGCAAATATTAATTTAAAATAGCTTTCAACCTGCGCAGAGGTGCTCCCTAACTCCTTACACATGCAGGTAAAGGCAGCAATTGAGGAGTTACTGTCGCTAAAAGCCTTTCTGGTCATGTTTTCAAAAAGCAAAACAACAAACACACTAGGACCTAGTGCATTACTCGTCGGACAAGCCGGAGCGCTCCACTTACGCCACGTCGACACGATGTACGCCTTCCCGGTGTGGAATTCCCTGAGCTACTAGCGCGGGCCAAACTCCACCACATGTATTGCAAATATGATCTATTATTTACTCTGGTTTAAGTTACCCTCAGTGCGAATGCGAGTGAGAGGTGGGACAAAGATCCATAACGCTGTTCATGAAAGCTACATCGTTTAGCAATATAAGAAAAGCGGTTTCTGCTTCCTCTTCAAGCGACTATTGGTACGTATACACGTCTGCAGTAGATATGGGCCCGGATATCCGAACTGTGTTGAACTTCTCGCTTAGTTGGGCACGTTTGGGGGGGGGGGGGAGACTACGCAGCGGCGCGGCGCTTTCTTGTGTTGCCTCGTGCTCTTAAGCTTGAGTCCAAGGGGCAGATGATGTACCGGTCAGCACTACGTGTACTGATTTCTTATAGTCGTACGTCAGATATGGCAGTGGTTCTTGCAATGTGCGCAAGGCGACGGGCGATTGGCATCGCTCCAAAGTGCGAGCGACGGGAGATTTACCCGAGCGGCGCCGTGTGTATCGGTCGTCGGCGGGGTAAATCTCCCGTCGCTCGCACTTTGGAGCGATGCCAATCGCCCGTCGCTTGTGCACATTGCAAGAGCGACTGCATCGCGCGATGCAATCGCATCGAACGTGAGTGAGTGAACGACCGACATCTTACTATTTCGTCGCCACGTGGCAGTTTCGAAATACGCGCCATCGGCGGACTAAGCCTTGGAGAAGCAGACGGAACAGAGCGCCGCGCTACCGCGTGGTCCCCCCCCCCCCCAACTAAGTTAGCACCGTAAATTGCCAGTGCACTCGTGCAAGCATTACTGACTAACTTCCATTTAAGATTACGCATATGGTCCTTTCCTTAACGTGCCAGGGCATTGCTAACTCAACGAATTATGCCACGAGAACTATCACGTATGTATGAACCGTGAAGTAGTATTCGCTTAGTACGATTTCTTTTGTGAATATATCCACCTTACCTGAACTCTTCGCATGGACTCATGCTACTTGTATGGGAGATGTTTCCATACAAGTAGCATAAGTACTTTACGGGGCATCTTCGGCCAAATGTTTTTGTGTGGAGGTACACTTGAGATTTAACTCTGTAATACTTGTCATAGCGATTTCAAGTTTGGTTTTTGACTTGTTTGCTGTTTTTTTTACTTTGTTTTTCCATATCCCATAGTTATACTTTCGCTATTCAGTTATTAGACTTTCGGCTGTTTTCAAGTTAACTACAGTGTAATGTTACACGCTGACTTGTTGTGAACAGTTCCATAAATTTTTCATTCAGGGACAGGATCAACATCGTGGTATTTCAATATCAACAAATTAACTGAACAGTGCGTGTCCGAATTGCTAAGGATAACCTCACAGCAATGCAATGTAAGTCTTGGTTTAGGGACGAAAACCGAAGTAAATTATTAGCGGCTAATTCAAATACGCGCGGGAAAGTTGAGCCGTGGAGCAGGCAGTTCGTACAACTCGTCTGCCCCGCCCTTTCCTTATTTCAAGGGAATCCTTGTTTAGGGCTTCATCGACGGTTTTCTTTGCTTCTTTTTTCTTTTTAGTCAATTCGGCATCCACAACTAACTATTAACCGCTGTGATCCCACAAATTCCATCTGGGGTCACATTTCTTGATTAGAATATGTAGGTAGTGGAAATCAATAAAAGACGGTGGCTGCTGCATGCCTTACCGAAGAACGATCAAGAGAATTGTCAAAAAGACCTGTATAAGACTCATTAAAGCTGCTCTTCGAAGTTATAGATATGAGATACAGAACAGAAAAGAGTGTATGTGCAGACGAGAGGCTCGTACGACGAAGACGCACGAGAGCATGGATAGGGGGACACAGACAGGGCGGGCTCAAGGGAGAAGGACCTTCCAGAGCTCGGCTCTTTACCACCCATGCACGGGTCGTACCAAGTCTCTCGATTTGGTCAGTTCACATAGACTTCTTGTAACAAGCCTGAGTCTAAGTCTTTAGACTACTGCGTAGGTAAGGTGCCTCACTGTCAGAAGATTTGCATCGAATATGGGTCGTGATAGAATTACAACTGGGCATTATTAGAGTGAGGATGGTAAGGGTTTGCTGCACGATACCGGGTAACTTCACTGGCGAATGCTATTCAAACCTACTTCCAAATTTGCCTATTTTATTTACTTTTGGGTGTATCAATTCATTGGGGTCGATACTTGTGCTAAACGTAGTAATAAATCCTTGTTGCACGTCCTTAGTACAGTCTTCCTTTGGTAATCCACCAAATTGGTGCATCGACCGTTGGAAACGATCCCTTCTGCGCTAGCTTTCCCAGTGAAAGACAGAAGGTGAACTACTTCATCAACCAGCCGAATTTCCTCACAATTCCTCCCTGAGGAACGGAACTTTGGCAAACCTTTGACTACATCACTAGTCAAAAAGTCTAATTTCACAAGTTATTCCTCCCTGAGGAATACGGAAATCACTACACCTTCTGCGCTAGCTGGCTGGCATAAAGCTACTCTCAGTTGAGAGAACAGTAAAGCTACTATTTCACATTGTTTCCACAGCTGGGAACAAAAAACCTTTCAAGCAAATTTTCTTCTTGTAAGAAAAGAAAGGTAAACTTCAAGCCTCCTACACCACCTCCCAGAAGGAAGTAGGACTTGAACATAAAGACCTACCAAGCTTCTTCTCTACAACGAGAAAAGGTGGGCAGAAAAACCAGTTCTTCCAAGCAAATTGGAAAGAAACTTGGGAATTTTCCTGCGAGTTCTCCATAAGGAACCGGGAAACAATCACTCATCTTCTGCGCAAATTCTCCCCAGTGAGAAAACAGAAGAAACCTAATTTTCGAACAAGTCCTCCCTGAGGAACACGGAAATTTGGCAAAATTTTGAACTACATCACTAGCAATCAAAGAGAAGTCGAGTTTTCACACTAATTCCTCCCTGAGGAACTCAAAAAGACCCGCGTGGCAGGAAATTCATCCTACACGAAACCAAGGTGTTTCAAAAGAAATATCGAACTGAGCTGAAGCTTCAAACAGTTTAGGACGCTCACTGGTTTCGAACAAACTTGTGCTCAAATCTAAGCAACAAACCACCGATCTCAAACAACCCTCAGCACTAAAAATGGCTGAGATTCAATTGTTTAAGACCAGAATCACGAATGCATGCAAGCTGATCCGTTCAAGCGAGTCAGATCTCAAGCTTTTGGACAACCCGTTCATATTCCCAACTCAAAAGGAGGTATGCGAGGTGTATATAAGAGAAAAGACAGCACAGCTAAACCACTTGATAACAACGATCACTAAGGCGAAGCAGCTCCACGATACCTGTCTTGACAAAGCGATCGAAACAATTAGTTCACGATCGGAGCAGAAGGATCGAGAAAAGCTGATGCTCGAGCTTAACAACCACATGGAGGTCGAATCACGATGCATTGGCTGCGAATAAGCCAATAAATATCATGATCGGCCTGAGCAGAGATCGTGCGACTTCAAGGAAGGAAGAGTTGTATGGCAGGGCAAGCTTCATTCATAGCGGAAGCCATTAGCATTGCCAACCAGGCTGGTAGTAGTCAGAACAATTCTCACAGCGGAGGTGACACTGTCAATCCATACGACCGCAACATACGAGTTCGACGCCCTCTGCTCGAAGTCCCAACCTTTTCTGGAGACTTCAGGGAGTACAATACCTTCTGGTCAGTCTTTGAGTCCCTCATCCACAAAGATCGAGCTTGCTTGACCTAGCAGTATAAATTCCTATTGTCTGAACAAGCAATAAAGAAAGGCATCAGCTTTAGAGCGTTCAATCAACAGCATTCCAGTCATTGGTGACAAATACAGCGTCGCTCTGAATAGTACTTAAGAAACAGTTCGATAGATCATCAGGCATAGCGGACATCTTAATAAACGAGATTGAGCATCTGCCTAGGGCACAAGAAAACTCGAGAAGTTGCCGCGATACACTCAATGCCATATCTTCTCGAATCGTGCACCTGGAGCAAACTGGAATGCCAATGAACGCAGACAGAGTATGGCGACGCCTTATTCTTTCAAAATTCACAGAGAATATCTGTAGCCAAGTAATCAAGAAAGAAAACGAAGGTGGCACAGGATTCGAAGTGAAGAATATTCTTGACGCCGTTGATGAAATTATAACTCTTCAAGAAAACTACCGAGCTAACAACAAAGACGTTGTTTCGGTACTCAAACCACGCAAGCCATGCAGAACAACGCCAGAGGACATGATAACGGACGCCACCAAAGCAAGCAGTCCCCTAGTCATCGAATGAGGCATGCATGTCTGTGTGGAGAAGCGCACTCACCACATCAGTGCGCCAGGTTCCCTACACCTGAGGCTCGCCGAATGGAAGCCAAGCGCCAGAGGAATGTGCTGGAAATGTTTCGATAAAACTCATGGGTCGAGATCATGCACAGCAATGGGACCATGCCCGAAATGCACGGAGGATCACCATTCTTCGCTCTGCATAACATCGAGATTTGGTCTGGAACCAATGAGCTTGTCCAATCGGCGACAAGACCCACCACAAAGTTCTGCTCAGTAGAAAAAACTGCTAGAGCTCCATTCTCACCACCAACCAACCGCTATCGGCAGCTAGAACAAAGAAACAACAACCACGCAAGACAAGCGGATAGAGTGCAAGCATTACACGCTGCTCTCATTGGAGGCATGACTTCACAGTCGGAACAACCGACAACCACTCAGTGCGTACTACAAACAGCATCATTGCTAATCTTCAATGAAGCCGAAATGGAATACCAACCAATCAATGTTCTCCTTGATTCGGGAGCTCAGAAAAGCTTTCTAAAGGCGAAGATCAAAAATCAACTGCAACTTCCCACCCGAAGCTCTACAAAGTTCACCACCATAGGCATGGGTGAGCTTCAGGAGACCTTCGACTCTCAAGAAGTTAGTATAACTCTGAAAAGCCTGCACAGCTCCAGAAAGTTGATACGGCAGGTGGTTCACTCCAAACCTAAGCTAACAGCACCCACATGGACAGCACAACTATCTCATTCCGACAAACGCTTCATCAATGAAAGAAACTTCTCAATTGCTCTCAATGCAGCCTTGAATCGTCCGAGATTACACCTGATCTTATAATAGGACAGGATCTTCTCAATCAAGTCTTATGCTGTGACACACCAGCGATGATCCTCTCTCAATCTTTATTTTATCTCATTTTAATTCTCCCCATCCATTGATTCGATATTCGCGATTCTTTGTGTGTGGATTTCGTATGCTCGATACTTTTCTTTATCTCATAATCAGACGATTTTGTGGCGCAGCAACCATTTCAACGTTGTGCTCAAATCTAGCGTTACAGCACTGTGACAGGAAGCGAAAGCATCACGACAGTAAGGTATATCCACCGCTAGTAACAACATGCCTGACATCAACGCCAGGAAGCAACATTGTAATGGAGCCTCTGACAGGCCTCTCAGTCTTTTCGCACGTTGTCTCGACTGCTGACTTAGCGCACCGAGGGAACCGAGAATCACTAAGCCACTAACCAAATCGGAAAGAATATTTAAACGACTGCGACAACACAGAAGTCAGCGCAGCAAGCCAAGAATAAATGGACATCCTACCACGTCTCACACACTCCGAGCAGCATCTGAGGAACAACTCCAATCATATGGAACCATTTTCATCTTGATTATTGTGTTTAATTGTTTTAGAAAATTCAAGTAACATAGCTCTTTTATTGTACTTCTAGCTACCGCTAATTTTCGCCTTGCCCCAGTGTTGTGGACGAACAATCGTCGTCATATAAGAACAGAAATCTATCTCACAACTCCATTCAGGATGTGCTGAGCCAGTCACTTATTTTGTTAGATTCTATTACAGTTTTTGCAGCTACCGCTTCATTTCGCCCCGCCCCAGTGTTGTGGATACACAACCTATAACTCCTAATAGAACTAGGATTCATAGAAATGATTGATAACATGCTAGTTCAACTTATTAACCATAGGCATAACTTGATATGAGTATCTCTTGAGATGATACCGCAGGCATGACCCGGCGGTATCATAAGTGTGCAATCAAGTAGGTTCTGCCGTCGGCGCGGTCCGCTCTTTCATTCCCCAAACTTGAGTACCACCGCTGGCCCCCTACGGTCCAGCGACGGTACGATATCTGAGGACCGCCCACATATTGTGTATATAAACCCCGTGAATGTATTATTGTGGTCGATACTTGTGCTAAACGTAGTAATAAATCCTTGTTGCACGTCCTTAGTACAGTCTTCCTTTGGTAATCCACCAAACTGGACATAAAAATTATCTGAAACAGGGGCGACCCTTGGCACTTGTGGTTGTTGCAGGCTTCCGAAAGAATCCTGATTCGCTTTACAACAGTGTAACACCCACCATGACAACCTTGAAACGAACAGCGAAGTCATTTTCTATGAAGAGCGTAGGCTGAACAAACGCAAAACATGAATAAATCCTAGCTGTTTAAAAAAAAGGATGTAAACATCGTAATAACCAAATACGTATACCTGCAAATCTCATAATCCACTCGCTTCCAAATTCAAATTGTTTTGGCAGTAGCCCTCTTGTTCCGTAATTTGTGGTCACCCTGAACAACAGCGAACCTCGTAATAAGGTCTGGGTCAAGGTGCGAAGTTCAGGCCGCACTTCACGAAAACGCTATCGGTACAAAAACTAAAATAAACACTCATCTCTATTCGCTTGCCACGATTTCTTTTTTTTATGAATTAACATAACGTTATGAACGTTGTAATAAATATATATTTATTAATTTTAATTATCATCAAGATACAAGTATTGATATACGATCTCACTAATGGATCAATAACCGAGAAAGATACCCACAGACCCCATAAAATGGGATACACAATCCGAACAGAAATCGTATATATAGACATGTCATCAAATTTTACGTGAAATATGCAAAATGACATCAAGTACAACCTAGGCGAACGTACCACCTGAACCAAGGAACAGCAACGTACGAAACTCCGTAACAGAGGACATATTAGAAGACAACAACAAACACAATAGTGACAAGAGGCAAATTCTATGGCAAAATCCTTTCTAAATAGTAATAAATAAAAATGTCACCTAAATATGACGGTTTGAAGGGCATCCTCTTCGCGCACTTCTACGATAGCTTCTGCGCCATCGTTGAAACGATAGGAAACTCCACCGTCCACAACCTCAAACCATTAAATTGAATGCCCCTTTTGATTAAAACGTAATGCACGTCTATAGGTATATAGATATTGGGTTGTCTCATAATTCCTGTCTCATAATTCATTTCTATTCAAATTCAAACTTCTTCTGTCTGAGATCATTTCATTGCGAAATACGTTAATATGTTGAAGTATGTTTCAAGAAGCCTCAACAAGGTGGTTTCAAAAGATCAAAGTCGCCGTAAGCCTTTAAGGCAACGATTACGATAAGGAGGAAGCGCATTGGGGAAGGTTGTGCACCACACGAATCACTTACTTGGCTGCAAAGGAGGAGCGAGGTGGCGCGTTTTCACGACGGAAGATTCGCTGGTTGCTGAGCAGGACTTCGATACCAACACCGTCAAAGGCATCCTCACTAGGGTTGAAAGTAAAAGTTGGCACGCGCTGCGTGCCATAGAAGCGAGCGCAACTGATCCACTCGCTGGACCATCGTTTGTATGCCGTCCGTGAACTCGCTTCATACGTCCAATTTCTGAGCTGTTACCTGTTCATGAGTGAAAAAGAACAGCCAAGAAGGGGGTCCCGTTTTGCGTCCTTCTTGACGGATTTCTAAGCTTTTTCGCGCCACTGCTGTCCATTAGAGCACCAACTACGCCTCCTTTGAACCCTTCTCGAATCTGTTGTAATCGCTGCCTTTAATTCAACTAGAATAAAAATAGGTCAGTGACAATAATGAAATGATTACGCTTTAATAGAAAAGAAAACAGAAAAAAAAACAATTCCCGAATAGAACCTTTTGCAAGGAGGACAATGGAGAAGCTCAGCGCTGCGTTTGGCCCAGCCCTCTGCTATTGATACGGCACTGAGCGAGTGGTCCAATCGCAACGGCAAAAGACGGTACGAGCTGTGAAGATCAACCTCATAATGGACCTGCAGCCACATTTGATGAGGGCCTCTTGCAGCATATACTGGGAGGGCATCAGCGGGAAAATTCCTCTTCTAGGACGGCATAAGTAAAGGCTTCCTAATCGATCACTAATAGAGATGAGTCATGAGTCCATCGCGACAACAACACGCGGCACGCCTGATGGCTACCTCGCAGGAAGGTAGTACCACTTCAACCAATGCCCGAACTCCGCATTCTCAGAAAACTATTCTCGGTTCGTTGTATTCGCTGGGTGGCTTGGTTTGAGAACCATTTCAACCGGAAGACCAGCATTGCGAAACTCAGCGTGGAATACCCTCTAGGCCGGCTCCGGTTTTCCGAGGAAATCGTCTAAAACATCTCAAATCTCCTTCTCCAAATGACCCCCGGAGCAGGGTCAACCCTACGTTGTTACTAGTAACAACGGGGGGGTCGTACCTGGTTGAGTTTATAGGAGGGGGGGTCGTATCCGCTTCAGTCGCGTGAAAGTACATGTGAGTTTGTGGTGAAAGTGGAGTTTTCACGAGTAGTAGGCTAGGTGAGTTGGGAGCGCATGGGAGAAAAATTCGCCGTTTCAGCGCGCGTATATACCCCCTAGAAAATGAAGCAGTGGGATTATAGGTAGAGTGTAAATTGGTTGAAATTTAGGGAATTTTGGTAAGCCAGTTTTGCTTCGCCCGCTATCGCGCGCATCACACGGCAGGCTTTAGCGAAATTGGAGGACCCATGGAATATCAGCATGAGATACTCCATCAACCATCTCACTATTGACTGTGTTAGACCCTCCCACAGTTTCACTGAAGCTCATCGAAGAATACGCGTGATAAACTGTAAAAACATCCAGCATTTTTCTTGAATTAAGATAATTTAGCGGTGAATAGGATTGCTGTCAGTCTCAAAATCAAAACGAAATATGCCTATTTACATAAGTGAGGAGCTAATGCTTATCATTCATTTACATTCATCATTATTTAGAACCACGAAAGGATTAGCGGTTTAATGAGTTTGGGTTTTCTTAATAGTCAGAAATGAAACTTATCATTCGCTGAAGACTTGTTTTTTAAAATTTATGCAGTCGAATTCTATTAAGTAAGCTGGACATATATATCGAAATAATGTGCACGTACCTTTGTTTGTACTACTACGACTTACTACAATTTGTAAGTAGGAACGCTCTAGTGTCAACGCTGCGTAACGGAACTAACGACTTTTGCGTTCTGACGCGCCTTATCGGCCCTTATCAATCGTTATCAGTTTCTGGCACCCACCAACAATGTCCCCGTCCCACCCCACATAACACTTGTA